TCTTTCAGAACATGGCCACACAGCCCGAAAAAACCCACAAAAAAATACTATGGATGCTGGCCATGAAAGCCTACGACTTCACATATCTGGCTCTCTTCACACTGTGTAATCCCTTGCATTTTGAATAAGTAAAACCTTGTCTTAAAATGCATTTTGCTCATTCCAATACTTTATCAAACCTTTTCCCCATGCAGTTTTTCAATTTTCCACTGGAAAATCTGGGGGCAAATGTGTTTCAAGGGGGAAAAAAACAGAAAACAACATTTTCCTCCTCTTTTTCTGGTTTTGTCCCCTAGGTCTTCATATCTCAAGCCAGGCCATTGCTAGGTAAAAAGCATCTCTTATACTTACTGTCTGCATTTGTTATATCCCATCCTGCAGTCAAGCATTTGGCATCCTCACTTATTTTTTCATCCTGATCAGGCAAACAGATGACTGATATGGTACCTCCTAAACAGGAAAAGCATATCATTGGATTTTCTTTTACCCCCAAGTCACAAACCCCAAAGGAAATAATACTGTGTCTAGGCAAATTACAGGTGATTCACTTGTGAATGAGCAATTTCAGCTTAAAAGAGTGGTTTGCGTATCTGAAATAGATTTTAGAAGTCATAGAGACATGAAACTTTCATGGTACCTCACATCATACTTTTTGATGAAATCAGTTCAAGAAAGAGAAAAGTAAAAAATCTTATTGAAATAGGGCGGTTCGACAGTGGAACACACTCCCTCGGAGAGTAGTGGAGTCTCCTTCCTTGGAGGTCTTTAAGCAGAGGCTGGATGGCCATCTGTCAGGGATGCTTTGATTGGGAGTTCCTGCATGGCAGGGGGTTGGACTGGATGGCCCTTGTGGTCTCTTCCAACTCTTATGATTCTATGATTCTATGATTGAAATAGATGGGGTTTATTATGTCCCACTTCCATTCCTCCCAATGGCATAAAGCTTAGCTTAATTAAATCCATACTCTACAAGACAAAAAACCCTCATCCATGTGGCCCATAAAGAAAATAAAAATTAGAGTTGGATATTGTTGGATCACTTTAGAAAAAAAATAATAAAACAGGCAAATGTGGGAACCCTCAAAATATGGCATGCCCATATTTTGTAATGAAGATTTCCACAGGACTTCAAAACTTACCAGTTTTATGACTTTTGAAGTGATGTAATAATCTTTCATTTTGCACTACACCATTTCTATAACATGCCCAGAGCTTTTTTTTCTTTTTTCTTTTTAAAAAACCTCACCTTTTCCCCCAACTCTTTTCCTGTACTTTGAATCCACTGTCCTGTATCTTGGAGTAGCAGAAAACAAGCCTGTTTTTTCCTTAACATGACAGCTCTTCAAATATTTAAATATGGCTATCATGTCATCCCTTAACTTTCGTTTCTGCAGGCTAAATATACTCATTTCCCTAAGCCACTTTTCACCGTTTTGGTTGCCCTCCTTTGGACACGCTCCAGCTTGCCAGCATCCAACAGCCAAAATAGCCAAAAAAATAATTTCTCCATGCTCAGATATAGCGACGTTCTGGACCAGCCTCTTTCCTGTTCAAGCTACATCACCTGTCAATTCTAGCCAGATGAAACCCCTCTCTAGATTGATTCTGCAGTCCCAACTCTTGTACTCCTATCACTCACTTTTCCTCAGGATCCCTCTCTGGATCTGGTAAACAAGTGACCCCTATACTGGACAAGTCGCTGTGATTATCAATGGGTTCAATGTTTTCACTGTTAATTATTAGCAACATTCAGACAGAGATGTAGAAAATAAAAACAGTAAAGATTTCTCATATATAACAAATAAAATAAACATCTAGCTTTAGACTGGCTCCACACACAATACCCCCTCATTTTTAGACTGAGAGAATACAGCAGCATCAGAGGCCCAGGTCTGTGCCTGCCTCTCACTCATGCCAGTCTTACAGCAAAAGCTGGCTGGCTGCTTGTTTGCTGCTCCCAGGGTGACTAGGTACAAAGGGAGAAGCAAACAAGCAGCCAGTTGAGCAGTGACTGGAACTTTTTTTTTATTATAACATAAATATATTACATTGTTAAAAAAAGGATTTACATATGATATTCAAACAGCAGAGTAATGATTTATACATTAATATCAATCTGGCTATTTCTCAATATCAACTTCAATTCAATACTGACATATCCTGTCTATATGTTGTTACATATTGTTTTCTTCTGTAACTTCTATTTTGTTATTGTCTTTGTAATATTCTTACATCATTTAGTTTTATGGAAGTTTTCCCCAAAGTGATCTTTCAAAATTACTCATGTAATCTTACTACTTTAAATCCCCCAAGTGTTATCACAATAAAGAAATAACGGATTCCATATCTCATTTGTTTCTGAGACTTTTTCCCCACACTGGCCTTTACCGCAAAGCCAACTTCTTTGGTTGTTGCTCAGCCAATTGCTCGGGTGTTGCTCCCAGGATGATCAAGTGCAAAGAGAGCAGCAACCAAGCAGCCAGTTGAACAGTGACTGAGAAGCCTCTTGACCATGCCAGCCTTGCAGCAAAGGCTGGCACAGGTGAGAGGCTTCTCAGTTATTGCTTAACTGGCTGCTTCTTTTCTCAACCAGGTTACACCTGGTTACCCTGGGAGCAGCAAATGACCAGCCGGCCTTCCTTTTGGTGTAAGGTGAGAAGAATGAGCACCCTGGGATGCTGCCAATGCTGTATTCACACACGAGAGGCTGAGGCAGAGGAGGAAGCAGTGGTGAGCTGGGCACAGCTGAGGTAGACATTGCTGGCCAGCTGCCTGCTGCACAAACATTAGATCTAATATCAAGACATAGGCATTGGGGGTTACAAGTGTTGTTGCCCAAGAAGAAAGGGGGTGGTAGCACAAAAAGGTTTGGGGACCACTCCTCTAAGTTATACCCTTTCCTACACAAACTCCCCTCACTGCATTCTATGAACTAAAATTGACTGGCTTGACTCAGGCTTGTCCAGCTTCTCTCTTCACATCCTGTACCAAGACCCTTCTTTGCCTTCTCTTCTAGTACCTGTCTGGATGGGTTTTTCAAGTTCCAACAGAGTAAGGTCATTATTGGGAGGAAACCCACTGAAGTTGGTGTGGATGTGTACAGCTTTCACAATGGCCTGCGTGCCATGTTTTATGCCAGGCAACAGATGGGTGACCCCTAGGACAACTTTGTCGGTTTCAGCACTAAGAAAAGGAAGAGAGAGCATGTTTAGTTCATGATATGTACACTTTTTTAATCAACTTTTTATAGTAAAAGCATTTTTGATTTTACACATGAACAACCTCTACTCCCTTCTGTCACACATTCATTTATCTCTCTCCCTATACATAGGTATAAAGTTTAAAAAACCAAATGAGAATTAAATAAAATGATTAAATAAATCAAATTAAAAGAATATGTAATTAAACAAAGGAGGAAAAGATGCATAGAGATGCATACAGCATGAAAATCTCCTGCATTACAACTAAAATAAACACAAATGATATTATTCTACTGTGTTTCAACTGGCACCTAGTTCATATATCTATCTCCAAACTGGAACAGATTGTTCCAAATTTCTTTATCTCATATATGCCAACTACTCCAATGTTTCTTGGATTTGGTGGAGGGACCTACATTTTCATTGTATGAGGACCATGTGTTCAGAGGCTACCAATGCTTTTGGACTTGTATAATTGCACCATTGCTCTACCATATTAATGGAAATTTACCAGGGACAGGGGTTGGGCTCCAGGCACAACTGCTTTTATTCAGAAGCTTGCAATGTTCATAAACCTTTCCACCACTTCCTCTGTCCATTAATACAGAAAATTCTTTCACGAAGAAAAGCTACAAGAACTGCACAATGTCTTTGCTGGGAGGCAAAAGGCAAGAGTGTTTTACCATAAGCATCCCATACTATGTAAAGAAGCAAACTAGACTGGTAAGTTGAACCTTATTTCAACCCTTGCAATGGAACATCATCCTCTGCACCACACTTTAGAGCAGCAGACTACGTAGTTCAGGAGGTCCAGAAGAAGGATGAGTGGCACACACAGCTTTGTCCTCCCATGGGGGGAATGGCCAAGGGGAAATGGGAGGAAAAGCTAGCAATAGCAATAGCAATAACAGCTTCATTTATATACCGCTTCATACCACCTAAGCAGTCTCTAAATGATTTACAACTGTAAGCTAATTACCCCCAACAAGCTGGGTACTCATTTTAGTGATCTTGGAAGGAGGCAGGCTGAGTTGACTCTGAGCCCCCTGGCTGGGATTGAACTCATAACCTTATGGTTTGTGAGTAAGTGGCTGCAATACTGGCATTTAACCACTGCACCAACTAGGGATGTTATCA